TTTTTTTTTTTTTTTTTTTTTTTTTTTTTTTTGCGGAACCAGTGTTTGAACTCAGGCCTTTGCGCTTGCCAGGGAAGCGCTTATTCCACTGAGCCATCTCCCTGGCCCCCTTGGTACATTAGTTGTAATGAATGTACTTGTTTATAAATGATGTTAATAGCAGACATTCTATTCAATGAGGATAATCATTCTGTATTATCTCTCAACTCTTTGTGTGAAACCATCCTTAAACATAACATGTATTTAAAGACTTGATTAGTTCATATACATGATATCATAGTGTTACAGGCAGCCGAGTTAGATAAAAATATGGTATGCAGTCAGACAGGGTCAGGCCCTGGAAGGAGATAACAAAGACCAGATCCCTTACAACTGTGGGAGGGATGGATGCTCCCGCTGTGAGACAGACCTAAAGACCAAACAAATGCTAACCTCCCTAAAGACTGGCATCCAGGATTGACCATTACTCAGTAAGAATCATTGTCTGAAGGCCATCAGATAAGGTCCTGTTTTACATTCATGCTCACTTGCTACGTGACTCACTACCCCATTTGGGCCTGGGCCTAATCAATTTTACCTGTGCAATGGTGTTTGTAATCCCATTGGTTGACCATAGTTTTGTCCCACCACACATCCATCTAAATGAGTTCCCATTTTCTACACTATAAAAGTCCTTGGAAGAGACAGCTTCCTGGAGAACTACCCACTCAGGCCCCCCTCCTATCCCTCTCTTGGACAAGAGCTTTTCTTTCCCTCAATAAATATATTCTGCTCATAACCTCCGTTTGTTCCTAAAATTCATTCTTCCATTTTAGAGAACATGAACTCTTCCAGGTCAGGTCAGGAGATCATTTTTCTCTGTATTATTTGGAGGTTCCCTATGTCGTTCGGAGGTCACCCACTCAAGTTCAATTTTTCTCCCTGTCTCAATAGTCATCATCATCATTTTTATTTAATGGTTTCAATGTGAGAAAAAGAGCAACAACATGTTGAGAAAGTTCACAAGGAAGCAAAGCCTGAAGAAACCTGAAGAGCACAGCATGAAACTACAGGAGAAGAATAAATTAGTTGATTACTAGTGGTGTGTGTTTCCTTAGAGAATAAAAAATTTTTAAAAGAACCCAACATTGATCAAGAGGACATTTTTTTTTTCTGTTTTTCCTTTAACTCTTTCTGTCCCCAAGGCTCTCATTGAAAAGCCCACCAACACTCTCCTGACTTTCCTGGTTTATATGTAGCTCAGTTCTTTTGCTAGAAACTCGATTTTCTCTGTCTTCTTTGATAGGTTACGGTCCTAGTATGAATTGCTGAATCATTATGGTGGTCATCCAATATGGCTGAAGCCTTTAAAACAACAGCTTATCTTCCCAATGACCACTTCCCCCCTTCTTCTCCAACTCAGCCCAGGGTTCAATTTCCTTTCACCTTTCTGGCCACCTCAGGGAAGACCCCAATTAGCCCCTCAGGTATATCTAAACATCCCCCTCAAACCCCATCCCTGGCAAAAGGCCATAAAAGCCTCAGCCTCCCTTTGTTCCAATCCAGAGAATTCCTTATCTTTCCAAATTCTCTTTGTGTCCTCAAAGATAATAAAGCCCCTTTCCCTTTTTCCTTCTGCCTGTTTCTCTGCTGTGACACAGCCAAAACCTATCAGTCTTTGCCTACAGTTTTAATCTCACCCCACCATGTTCTACTGTCACTAACCCATCCTTGAAATGAATACTGAGTAACATCCCAGAGCCACTTCTTAGTCACCTTCTTGTTGGACTTCATGTAATACTAGACATAGTTCTTTCCTTTCCTAAAGTTTTGGACACTTTCCTTTCCTACTACTGCTTCTTCTACTCATCATAAGCTCCTCTTCTTCCACCCTGCTCTTTTAAAATGAAACATTTCCTTGTGTCATTCTTATTTCTGCTTCTCATACTATCATGCTGTTTCCATGTGACACCATGTGTTCCCATAGTGCTACCTGCTGTTTGTATGTGAACAACTCAAAACTCAGACCTCTCTCCTAAAACCATACAATATGTCTGCCACTAGATGTATGCATTTGAGATTCAACTCAACATGCCCAAGCTTAGATCATCATCTTCCAACAAAAATTTACTGCTTTCTTGTATTGTCTACTTGTTTGGATAACTGCCTGATGGAGAATTTAGCAAGATGAAATTAATATCATCCTTAATATCATGATTTAAATGCAGTTCTCATGAAGCATTTATCTCCTTGATTTTCTCTCCCTTATTAAAGCTACTTCCTCTTCTTCTTTACTAACACTGTCTTTTGGTGTCAGGCTTTCATTATTTGTTAACTGGACTCTGAATTAGTCTTGTACTTCTATTTTGCCTGTTTTCACAGCTTTGTAGAAAAATACTTGTTGGTCAAATTCAATTGCATTATTTCTCTAC